CTTGGTGATGATCAACCATGTGCTATTGTGGGCAAAGGTATAGTGAAAATTAAGTTGAATGGGTCAGTATAGGAGCAGAAGGATGTTAGACATATTCTCAATCTTAGAAAGAACTTAATATCTGTATGCCACTTGGCTGGCGAAGGATACACTACGACCTTCCATGGAGATGATTGGAAGATCTCAAAGAGTGCAATGACGATTGCCCGAGGCAAGAAGACTGATACCCTATATATGATAGCAGATGCACGCGGTTTGATCTCAGTAGCCGTAGTCAATGAGACTTCAAATTTATGGCACCAGAGACTCGATCATATGAGTGAAAAGGGGATGAAGATTATACACACAAAAGAAAAACTCCTAGGTCTAGAATCAGTGGAGATAGACATGTGTGAAGATTGCGTACTTGATCGACATGCCTCAGCACAATGGTGTAGCTAAGCAGATGGACAGAACGTTGACAGAGAGAGCCATAAGCATGCATATACAATCAGGTCTACCGAAACAGTTCTGGGTAGAAGCAATCAACACAACAGCTTACTTGATCAACCGAGGTCTATTGGTTCCATTGGAGTACATAATACTAGAGGAGGTATGGTGCGAAAAAGAGGGAAAACTCTCACATCTTAAAGTTTTTGGTTGTGTAGCTTATGTGCATATTAGTGATCAATGCAAGAATAAGCTTGATCCCAAGTCCAAGAAATGCACTTTCATCGGTTATGGTGAAGATGAGTTCAGCTACAGCATTTGGGATAACGAAAACAAGAAAGTAATCCGCTACAGAGATGTGATATTCAACGAGAAGGTGATGTATAAGGACATGCACAAGACATATGCCTTTGACTCAGAGGAGAGCGAGTCAACATTTGTAGATACAGATGATGTTCCAGGTGACCTCTTGAAAGAACCAAATGCAGCATGTCCTCAGCCAGAAGAGCCTGTTGGACAGAACAGTGCGTAGGAGCCCGACGCACCAGCTCCGATATTGAGAAGATCTTCTCGGCCTCCTGTGCCCAACATGAGATATATGAACTATTTGTTGCTGACAGATGGAGGGGAGCCTAAAAGCTATAATGAAGCTTGTCAGAGTGGAGATGCGAGCAAGTGGGAGCTTGTCAGAGTGGAGATTCTAGCAGAAGGAAGAAATTGACTACACCGATATTTTTGCTCCCGTGGTGAAGCACAATACTATCAGGACAGTGATGAGTATTGTAGCTATTGAAGATCTTCATCTCGAGCAATTAGACGTGAAGACGACGTTTCTTCACGGAGATCTAGTAGAGGAGATGTACATGCACTAGCCAGAAGGTTTTCTAGAAGAAAAGAGGAAGAACCTGGTGTGCATACTCAAGAAGAGCATGTATGGCTTGAAACATGTCCCAAGATAGTGGTACAGAAAATTTGACGGCTTCATGCACAAGGAAGGTTTCTAGAAGTACAATACCGACCACTATTGCTACTTCAAAAGGTATCAGTTCAGTTATATCATCTTACTGCTATATGTTGATAATATGTTGATTGCAGGTGCATATATGGATGATATCAGGAGTTTGAAGTAGTAGTTATCAAAGGAATTTGACATGAAAGACTTGGGTCCAGCAAAAAAGATCATTTGAATGCAAATCACAAGAGATAAGAAGAGATGTCTCTTGCAGTTATCTCAGACAGAGTACATCAATCGTGTTTTGTAGAGATTCAACATGGGCGACGCCAAGCCAGTCAACACACCCTTGGCAAGCCATCTTCGCCTATCAAAGAATCAGTCTCCTCAGACGGAAGAAGAGAAAGAGAGTATGACTAAGGTCCCTTACGCCTCAGCTATTGGAAGTTTGATGTATGCAATAGTCTGTACGAGACCAGACATTGGTCATGCAGTGGGAGTGGTCAGCTGGTTTATATCGAATCTAGGAAAAGCTCATTAGGAAGCGGTCAAGTGGATTCTGAGGTATCTACGAGGCACCACACAGAAGTATTTGCACTTTGGTAAGGGAGAGGTGGAAGTGTAAGGGTATGTAGATGCAAACTTTGGAGGTGAAGTCGATCATCGAAGAAGCACCACCGACTATGTATTCACTGTCGGAACTACATCTGTTAGTTGGATATCACAGATACAGAAGATTGTCACTCTATCCACTACAGAAGCTGAGTATGTAGCAGCGACTGAAGCCAATAAAGAGATGATATGGCTTTAGGGTTTGTTAACAGAGCTGGGATTCAAACAGGAGAAGAATGTTTTACACAATGATAGTCAAAGTGCGATTCACTTGGCTAAGAATTCCGCATTTCATTCTAGAACGAAACACATTAGGCTTCAGTACCACTTCATCAGATCCCTGTTAGAAGATGACGTGTTAAAACTGGAGAAGATTCCAGGAAGTAAGAATCCATCAGATATGTTAATAAAGACGGTGACCATTCAGAAACTGGAGTTGTGTGTAACTTCAGTTGACCTTTATGCATAGGTGATGAGGGCGGAGACACACATGAGAAGGTGCTTGTTGAGATAGCCTGGTGACGGCGGTTTGGTCTCCAAGTGGGAGATTGTTGGTGTTGGGTATAGCCCAAACCTCCGCAGGTGAAGCTTCAGGCGAGGTCGAGCTCCTTTAGGCGAGGTTGAGCTCCTTCAGGCGAGGTCAAAGTTGAAGCGCTGCAGACGAGCTTGAGCGGGCGTGCTTCAGGCGAGCTTGAGCTCGAAGTTGATTCGTGGGCGAGTTTTCTCGCAGTCGAGGTTGAGACAGCCTGTCTTGAGCTGTCGCTAGGGTTCCCCTATAAAAGGGAACCCATAGCCCGAGATCTTCGGGGCGCTTCTCTTCTCTTTCTTGTGAATTTTTCTGGCGGCGGCGAATTTATTCCTCTCTCTTCTTGTAGCGGTGATTTCTCAGTGTTCAGAGAGCGATTCTGAGAGAGATCTCGAGCGATGATTTTCAGAGGAAAATCTCGGCCATTTGAGAATTTAAGAGGGGAATTTCACTGTAGCTACAATGTTGATTTACATTTATTGAGAGATCTCAGTTTGAGATCTGCTCTAAGCTTTGTAATTTCTTTGATTAAGAAGAAATTAATTGTGTGGCTCTCGAAAACGTAGGCAAGTTTGTCGAACCTTGTAAATCTTGGTGTACTTTTCTCTATTGTGTTTTCTTGCGATTTTAGGGGTTGAGCGTATCCCCGGTTATTTCCCAACACTTACCACCTCTTAGTTATTACTTTGTGGATGTTTTCTACAAAATTACGGTAAAAAGTAATAATTTCAGGGGCAAAGTTTGACAAAATAATTCATAGGGTACGTACATAGGGACCGAATTCAATAGTCTAGGGCATCTAGGCACTAACAATAGTTTTTTTAGGGGGTTGACAAACCATAAATATAATAGTTTAGGGGTTAAGTAGAGACTGAGATCTTCTATTTCTTAGAGTTGGGAGTTGCGGTAGAGCTGAACAAAGTTAGAAAAATATTTTGACCCTAAATCTTCTTTGTTTGATAACATGTTAACTAGGGATAAAGATAAGTAATATCTTGCTAACCTGTCAAACACTTACTATACTATTAAATAAAACGGAGGAGGATAGTTTGTCCAGATTTAACTTGTTAAACACATGTTTGCACATGAAATGAAGGAGGATACTAAGTCTAGATTTATCTCACACCAAAATATCTCTAAGGGATTAAATTAGTCATCTTAATAGTTGAAGTGGAATTAACCTCTCAAAATGAAGGGCTTACTAATCCATCGTTATAAATGTGCTAATCCGAAGGAAAGCACAAAAAGTAGTGTAATATTTACTACTTTAAAATTTCTCCTTATTCCTTTTGACAAGCCCTTAAAAAACAAGAACTTGGGAGTTGATTTCTGTTTCTCATTTATATTGATTTAGTAGGGAGAAGAAAGTATCCCGTAAGGATCGACGGCCCATGATATTAAATATGCTTTTAAAGCCTATCAACCCTTGAATCATTGAACTTTCACGATTCGTGCATTAATCCAGGGGTGGATATCCTTTGTTGGCTTTGAGAATAGGATCGGCCTGAATCAGATCTGAAACTGATTTGAGAAAATCTGTAAACACTGTAGCAACCGAACCTGGCAGTTTTTCAGAGAACAGAACAACAAGCACAGGGGAGATTTTGGACTGAAGTGGCCGAAATCTTATTGATGGAGAAACTGTAGACAGAGAACGAAACCTGCACCTGTTTACAGAGCAAAAAACCGGAACCTGGGAACTTTTCTTTGGGACCGAACACAAAAGAAAACCTGTAGACAGAGAGAGAGGAGAGAACAAACAGAGGAGAGGAACTTTTTTGATTCTTATTCACGTTCTCTAAACCATATAGGTTGTTTACATATATATAAGGACTAAGATTACAACTCTAATCTTATCCAATAACTAGATATAGGTTGTTTACATATATATAAGGACTAAGATTACAACTCTAATCTTATCCAATAACTAGAGAATTATCTACTAACTAGTAATATAAGGACTAAGATTACAACTCTAATCTTATCCAATAACTAGAGAATTATCTACTAACTAGTATTCTATTCTAACTAGAATTCTATCTACTAATTTGAACTCAACTACCAAATCGGACTGATTAACAACTCACATCCTTTAGGTAGTGCACATATTTATAGTTGTGTCAAGTTCATTAAAAAGATCAGATATGTCACGTTGCATTATTGTGTCCAAATAAAATAGTTGTAATCATTGCAATAGTCAACTAATACAGTTGGAATGCAACTTCGACCATATAAGACATAGCTTATTGACTTACAACCAACTTTGTAGGCCATTAAAATTCTTATTCCCTTACTGGATGCCACGAACACGTACATATGTGGTACTTCATCTTTCATTTCTCAAGTAAAAGAAGGAGCAACTAAAGAATCTTATATATATATATGTTCTAGTCATAATGATACCCTCAAGGGGGTACTCGATCTTCTTGCTTTCGAGGATTAATTAGGAGGAAGAGTAAGAGGTAAAGATTCATCTCAAAATCATTTTGTGGAAGAAAGTAAGGTTTTTGGATTTAGTTTCTTTGGCAGCTTTGTCGCCTTTCCTTGTATGGGAACCCTTTCGACTATTTGCTTTCTTAGTAGGTCATGAAGCCTTCCGAAGAGCTTCTGCTTCACCGTCTCAAACGCTCTATTGAGATTTTCGATCTGCGCAAAATTCAGTAATATCCTTAATTAGTCTGGTAGACCGGGTCTATTAATTTTACCAAATACCTGGAGCCTTTTGAGTTTCGGACATAAATCATAAGAATCCCCGGAGAAGAATAACTTCCCTTGTCAAACTAGAATTAATGTGTTACGTAAGGTAAGTAAACTCTGTGTCGATCGGAACCCTTTCGACGTACTATTTGCTTTCTTGGCGGTCCCCTACGTTCTGATGCACCCAAATACAGAGTTTACTTACCTTTAACCTCAAAGTGTAGTGTACCCCAAATTACGTACTGCTGATAGGCAAGAAAATTTTGTATTTTGGGTGTATGATCGAGGACGTATAAAACTTTGCACGTTTTTGAAGTCAATGGGGGGGAGAACTTTGGGTTCATAAGGGGTGAAAACCCCTTTCTTTAATTAATTATGCCTTGGCAACATATATAAAATTGTTTAAAAAAAGTTATTTTACCTGCTCTGTAGCGTTGACGTTATACATGAAGAGTCCATAATAAAGATCAAAACTATCGCTTACAGTGTTTTCTGTCTGCATTCAGTAAATGAGCAGCGAAATTGAATGAGTAAACACTACAACGGATTGCGCGCGAACTCCAAAATTAATTTACCTGTGTAATTGTGGTGAGAAATTACCAGATGCAAGAGGGTCTCGTATCCTTTTGTATTGATGGGCGTGGACTCCAAGTTCAAATGCGACAGAATCCTGACCCATTAATCAAAGTACACTATATATGAACATTAATGAGTTGACATCAAAAAGAATTTATTTATTTTTTTGCTGGTTAAGATGCGCCGCCTCTATTCATTATTTTTCCTATTTTATTAGCACTTATATCTCATGACAGCATATTTTTCTCTTAGTTTTTAAACTCTACAATGAAAATATATGATGATCAGAGCAGGTGTATCTGTAATTAAATAACTTAATAATAATCTTCTCTCTGGATCATATATATCTAATGGTCACCTTCCTATGGTGTGCGTGATGAACTGGCTGCCGGCCGCATGGCGATCATGCTCCTCACAAGACATCCCCACCATTCTGCAACCCTGAAACACATGTTGAAAACAGTCATCTTAATTTTTTGATTAATTCCTTCGTACGTAGCACGCACGCTTATATATGCGTATAGTTTGATGACCATATTCTAACAATCACCACTTTTTTTTTTTTTCATTTTTTGATTTTTTAAGAGATAGAGCCGTAATAAAGTCGTTTCCCTCTCGCTTCGTTAAATTTTTTTTGTCCCACCTTTACCCCTATAAGCTATTAAGTTTAACCTGCTTACCCCCTGAACTACACAATAATGATTTCGTGCCATATATAGAGTCATAAAAAGATATATTATTTTGAGACTTATGATGTTTTCAAAACGGAAACAAAATGTTTAGACTCGACTATTTTTTTATTATTATTAAATACGAATCTAATAGTAGTATATCATCGCTATACATGCAGTGGACACTTGAAACCTCTACGCTAACATCCTCTGTGACCTTCTGCATGCATGATACTTTGATAAGTTGGAGTACTACTAATTGATATCATGACATATATATATATTTATATAAGACTAAAAACTAACCTCATCTTCAAAAATCCTCAAGAACTGAGCACATTTGTGAGCTTGTTCTCCCTCAGAAATCCTCACCTCTTCGTAAACAAATGGCAACTCATTCCATCCATTCTTCCCACTCTCTGGTCCGAACATAGGGTGAGTGCAAACAACTCCAAATTCAGGAGGAAGGACCTTAATTAATGTTGCCACAATTATATTATATAAAAAGATATCAGCAATAGTATTCACGTCAGCATATGTATATATATACGTACCTCAAGAAAAAGATTTCTGGGAAATTGTTTAACAGAAAGAACATCCGCAAAAATGGTGTCAGCCTTGAGCTTACGGAACGGAATCGAACGAACCACAGTCTCCGTCGAAAGTATAGAGCTACATATTAATATAATATCCGGCTGCTCTTCACACATCTCATCCATACTCCTGCGCGCGTGGGTTACCAATTGAATCGGCGAAAAATTAAGCAACTTAATATTTTAAAAGAAGAAGAAGGAAAAAAAAAAATTCAACTAATTATAAACTGTCCATATATAAAAGCTCATTACAATATAATAAAAGATTACCGAAAGAAATGCATTCCGTGCGAGTTACAGTATTCTGAGTAGTCTGATCTTGATGTAGCCAGTACGATGTGACCCTGCCGTCGAAGCCCTTGGGCAATGAACTGACCGAAGTTTCCAAACCCTACGACGGCAACCTTCAGTGGAGGCTCTTCAT